AAAATTTGCCCCGGAAAGGGATGAATGTAGACAATTCGTGGGCGATATAGATTGTATCCCATATGACATTTACATGTAAGAATTCTAATTTACTTAACAAACAAAGTTCTTATTAGTCTAAGCAATCTCATTATTTGGCACTTGGCAGAGATAAAATTTCTCCATTAATTAGAAATTCTAAAAAAACAGGATAGCAATATCTGAAAAAAATAAACATAAAAATAACTTAGTGAGAATCGTACCTGAAGAAACGTCACAGCAACAAATATAGAAGTGTTGAGACTCAATCTAAAGAAATGTCTCTAAGCAAGAGAAATTAGCTACAAATATACATATGAAGTTCAGAATTAAAACTGAAAATATATAGATCAGAAACCTAAATAGATCTAAAATCATACCCCGCAAATTATAATTCTTCTTTGGTACCAATAAACAAAACAAAACTACAAAATAGATTGAAAATCAAGTAAATTTAATTTGTAAGTACTTATCTTGACCTTAGGTGCGTGAATTCTACCGTAGGTTTGCCAAGCAATTGAAAGACCTGCGTTTGCGGCCACAAGCAAGTAAAAGACATAGATCAATTTCTCATAAATCGATGACAAAAACATGCAAGTAACAGATTTAGTACCCAATTTGTTAAGCAAAAGTAATTCCTAGTTCATAGATTATGAATATCACATGGATCATAGCATATGAATAAATTTCTAGCATTGGGTTCACTCGTAGAATTTGCAATGCAAAGTAGCGTATTTCGTTACAAACTAATGCAACTCAACAAAAAATCATCAAAACAGTGAGTCTTGCAAAAAGCATATTTTCTTTATATAACTTGTTTCTACTTCTTCACTCAACTATTAAGAGCAAGAGATCTTGACTTCTATAGGAATCAAATAATTTCCTTGTATAAAATGTAGAAGTGTTAATTAATTAATGAATGAGCCCCGCAGAAGCAAATTTTCTTTATATAACTTGTTTCTACTTTGTTAGACAATTATTAGGAGTATGAGATTTGACTTGGGTAAAAATTAATTAATTTCTTGTATAAAACTTACAAATATTAATTAATTAATTAATTTAAGGAAATATTAATAAAGCATTATAAATTAAAGATGCAATGTATGTGAAAAATTAGGACTCATACGTAGTTAAAATAGGAAAATTATTTAATAGTCAATATTTTAGGTGATTCCAAACTCTTAAATATTAGGAAAATAATTAAATTACTATTTTATCTAGTGTGAAATCTATTTTTAAAGAGCAAAAAAGGCGAACGACATTTCGCTAAGGACCTTCGTGCTTTTAATGTAGTATAGATAAACATTTTAAGTTTGACCAAAATTTTTACTATTTTATCCTTAAAATATTTCTTTTTAGAACATTTATTATGTATCCTCAACTATTTTATCAACAAAAATTTATTGTCAGGCGACTAAAAAAATAATTATTATGTGTTATTAATAGAATTCTCTCATAAGAATATTTTAATTGATAATATGTTTGTCAATTTTTTATATTTTTACTAAATAGATATATACGTATCAAATATTTAACAAAGTAAGATAGAAATAATATGTAAATAACAAAAAAAACCGACAAAACCCAACCAATTCAAACCGATACAGTTGGTTTGGTTTGGTTTTGATAAAAACCAAATCAACCCGGTCCATGTACACCCCTACCTGCAACAATATGAAATTAAAATCTAAGGATAAGGTAGCGATCACATTCTCCTGCAGCAAAATGTATGTAATTGAGGAAATGTATCACATTATGTCTCAACAACGGAATTATAAGCTTTTACGAATCCTCAAAGAACATCAGGGAAACCTAACAACACATTTAATCTACCAAAAACTTCTTCAATTGTCCATCAATTCTTTGAAATACTCCCCTATTAGTATTTCCTCCCAAAACCTCCTGCACCGCGACCATATGTTGGTAGAGATGCTACAGCCTGTGGCTCAGCAGCTTGCTTGACAACACCAGGAAGATCAGACATGCCGAGGGCTGTAAGCATGTCAAGGGTCTCCTTGTCAACTTCAATGAGGTCAGTTTTGATGGCAGACTCATCAGGAACAAAGTCCATACGTCTCTCACGCTCCTCCTCCTGCAGTTTCAGGGAGATACCTCGAACAGGTCCCTTCTGAATACGTTTCATGAGATGGGTGGAGAAACCAGCAATCTTGTTGCGGAGACGCTTGGAAGGAATTATGGCAACTTCCTCCAGGATCTTCTTGTTTGTGTGGAAATCCAAAGTCATTTTGGAGTAATACTTCTCAATTACCTGTCGAGATGACTTCTTCACTGTCTTAGTGCGTACACGACCCATCCTTGCAGAGTTTCCCCAGACCAAACCTGTTATATTAATGTTTTTCAGATATTCATCATTAATCTTTTCACTATCACAAGAATATTCGATGATGCATACTTCATTTTCACCAAAAAAAAAAAGCTGAATATTTCTATCAGATTGCTGCGACTTATTGAATCTCAACGTACGAAGTAAGAACCTGTAAGGCATATTCTACAAACACTGAGAAACGTACATTCCCAATCTAAATGGCATAAACACACATGCTCTCGGGTCTGCCAACAGTTTCCAAGCTCAAGAAAACCCTTTTTGACCAGCGCCTGAATCTAAAAGAACACATTGTCATCTTCTCTTTTGTTCTCAGACGGCAGATGGAGAAAGCAAATATATCTCCAGAGTCCATATCAATTTGAAAGGGGATAGGCAGGGAAAAGGCATCTCCTCTTAGGCAACTAATATGACAGGAGCCTTCTAAATCCTCAGACTAACCTGCTATAACTGTTCCGTCCTGTTGGTTAACTCACTAGCTTAATCATTAGGCAATTGCAATTACGGGATGTAAGTATGATCCTAGAAAACAAAATGAGCTGATTGCAACCACTCGTCACTAGACTGTTCAAACTTCGAGTTGACTGACATGCTCATTGGAGTTTCTTAATTTCCTAAAGAACTAATCGCTGTAATATTCTTAATAGCCAATACACAATAGTTCAAAGTTTTTCAACTTCAGAAACAACAATGCAGATAACAAAAAATACTGACCTTGAAATCAGTATCTCCACTTTCTTCTTCTATCAACTACTAATCAAATCCAGTTCAACTCCAAATTAGTTTGGTTCGGCTACAACAATCCTCTTATTCATCCCACATTATTCAGGTCATTTAGCAATTAGTATTCAGAGGATTCATCTTAGATTCCATTTTTCAATAACGGTTGTACCGGTGCCAAATTGAGCACACCTCGACTAAATCACCTAATAACTGCTACTTACAACTAATACAAATATGGGCAACTCTGCCACCAAGTCTTGGGAAGAAATCACCAAATTATTTTTTTAAAGCGGACATATATACAAAGAGAAAATACAGAAAAATTGGATTCTTAAACATATGTTTTCTAACAACTTTTAGCAAGTAAACAATTTGCTCAATCCTAAAGAGTCGTGATCACATAAAGCATATTATTATTTTTCCAGTAATTGAGAGCAAAGAAAACAAATGTAATGTTAAAAATAGAAAGCTAAAAACTCACAGAGATTTCTGAAGAGAAAGAACCACAGTCGTGTGCGGCAGCAACTGAGCAAAGTGTAATTTCAGCAGAAATAAAAGAGGAGTAGACTATATTAGGGTTTGTGTTTGTGTTTGTGGATGATATTGGGCTTGTATTGTGTAAAGTCCATTTTGGGCTAATGAAATATTGATGGGCTTGGACCAGGCTTTCAAATTTGCTTACGTGGATAAACTGGACCCACTCTTTATTTCCTTTTTGGTTTTCCTGCGTTTATTTTTCAAATGATGGTCTCTGTTAGGGGTGTAATTTTTTATATATACTATATTATAAAGTTATTTATCTGCTTTAATTAAAATTTATTATTTATCATAACTAACTAATTTTTTAACAAATTATATATATTTCTTTTTAAAAAGGTCCCAAACCATAATTAACAACTGCAATTAAGGAATTCAATTAAATCACTTTTCTTTTTTCTCTCCTCTTATTCTTGTATGCATATTGATCATGTTTTAAATTATAACGTAAAGTTGGTCTTTTTCTATTTTTTTAATGACTTTGACCCTTGTGATTGGGATGCTTAATGCACTGTGTTGCTTTTTTCTTCTTTTTTCAATGCCTTTGACCATGACAATTTTACTCACATATAATTTTTTCCTAAGCACTAGTTATAATAAGATGTGCACATTTCTAATTTTTTTTTCTCAAAGTAACATCTTGAGCAATGTGTATTTTGAGTAACTTAAATATTTTATTCAGTAATTAAAATATTTTTATTTACTAAAGAGATATGTGAACAAAACAAAAACTAAAGTTGGACATGATCCCAACTTTCCTATCAGATAAAAACAAATCTACTTCACCTAAGTAACCAGGAACTACTAACACACATTTGCTAAGAGTAGAAATTGAGCTGCTCTATTCTTCATTGTCGGTGAGTGTGACACTATATTTTGTATAAAATAACTCTTTCAGATTTTGTGTTATTTTCTTGAGAAGTATCTTATAAATTGTATTTATTATGACTAAAGAAATATTTAAAGTACAAATTATATATTTTTTTATAGGAAGATTTTATTAAAAAAAAAAGACCCAAAAAAACCAATAAGACCGGAAAAAATCTAATGGTGCATTACGGGTACACTTCATGCCTCTATATTATTCCCTACTCTCTCGGTCTACTTTAATTAATTTTTTGGTTATTTTCACATATATTAAGAAATTAACCTTTTAGTATTAATTAATAGTGAAACTGTCTATATTAACCTTAATTTGTGCATTAAAAATATAACAAACACTCTTGGGCTCTTTATCCAAGGATAATTTTGAAAAGAAAATTAATTTTGAAAAAATTAAATATTATGGACTATAAAAAAAAGGCCAAAAATCAATTAAAGTTGATTGATTATGTGGAAAACATTCTGAATAACCGGTTTAAAGACAAAAATAAACCACATTTCCTTTAACTCCCCCATTTCTCTCTCTGTAATAGGCCATTCCTTCAATTACCAAAAACCTCTTTAAATCCCGAGTGCGCGATTCAAACGGCGCCGAATAATTCAATTCAATTCAATGTCGAAATGGACGAGGGAGGAGGACAAGCTATTCGAACACGCCCTGGTTCTGTACCCTGAAAATATCGCCGATCGGTGGCAATTAATCGCCGATCATGTACCCGGAAAAACAACCGAGGATATAATCGCTCATTACGATGACCTCGTTCACGATCTATTGGAAATTGATTCGGGTCGGATCGAACTCCCGACCTATACGGATGATCCGGTTGAATCAAACAAGAAGAACACTGAAATTGAGAGGAAGAAGGGTACCCCTTGGACTGAAGAAGAACACCGGTAATTTTTTTTATTTTTTTTTAACAATTTCTCATTATTTCTGTTTTTGAAAATTTTGACTGTAAATAACTTGTGAATTTTTTTTGTTTTAATAATAAAAAATCTTCGTGATTTTTTTCTTCTATTTTCTATCTTTTCATTAAAGGTGAAATTTTGTGTACATATTGAATTTGGTATTGTGGGTTTTGTTTGTCACATATTCAGGTGGTTCTTTTATCATTTCTGAGATTCTGGGTAAATATATAATAACAGTACTAAATTTTAAGTAGTGGTGGCGAAGTGGATAAATAAAACAATTATCCATCCATATTATATCTACTAAAAAAATGGGTTGAATAATGAACTTTTTAAAATTGGGTCAAATATGGATAAGAACCATATTATCCACTTAGAAAATGGATAACTAATTGGTTAACTTTTATATTTGTAAAGACTCAAGGTTCCTCAAGTTTGGGAGATTAGTGATCATATTCAAGAAGCCATGGATAATATGGGTCGGGTGCAATGTTTTAAAAGGCTGGAGCGTGAGGCGAGGCGAGGCGTAAGCCCTGAGACATGGGGCGTAAGTCCCATGGATCTTTTAAATTTTACTAATTTCAAGAATTTTAAGATAGTATAATATAAAAAATAATTATAAAAATTACATTAAAATCACAAAATTATAACAAATAATCCATTTAAAATATTTATAAATTATAATTCAACTATGAATAATATGAAAAGTATGACAAATATCATAATATGCAAATTAACTGCAATGTCGTTACAACTCAAACATCAAAAGTAATGTATTCGATATGAAATCTTATATGTATCAATCTTGAAAGAAGTTCAATATTATAATTTGATATTTTTCTTAAAATACTCCTTTTATTTAATATGCTTTCTATTTGAAAGAGAATTTATATAAAAACATAATTCACAATTTAAATATGATTCTCTAGCATCATTTATTTTTAAATTTCAACAAGTTAATAAAGTGACACATAATTCACCATACAATACCATGTAACTAATTATTTGTAAATAGTTACTAGCTAATATTGATCTATTAAATTAATAAGTATTGTATCTTGTAAACGTAAAAAAAATAATATTTAGAAAAATAATTATAAAAAAATTATGGACTATTATATAGTAAAGACATAACAAAAGTTAATAAATAAATACTTTTTAAATGAAAGATTTATTTAAAATTAACTATCATAGCAGTCTTAGTGGATAACGTGCAATAATTTTTATTTTAATTATGACATAAAATACTATCAACTTAATGATTTATGATTGAGAAAAAAGTAATTTTGAATAGTCAATGATTTATTAAGAAAATTTGAGGATTTACAAGGTTAGTTACATACAATTGCATAAAGTTCTGTTAGGCGAACCCAGTACGCTGGGCGTTGGGCGTTTCCGGAGCGTAAGCCCCGATGGCCGAGGTGTATGTCTCACGGAACTAAGCCCCACACATAAGCCCAGGGCGTTTTACGAGTGCTCCGCCCCAGAGCGAGTCCCAATTCTGTCTTTTAAAACAGAGGTCGGGTGGGATAACTTATCCGTTTTTGCATTACCCGTTTTGACAAGCTCATACCCGACCCGATCCATCTGTTTGCCACCCCTAGTTTTAAGTTTTATACATTGACGGTCAGGGGCGGACCCACATGGGGTCAAGAGGGTTCATCTAACCCGTTTCGCCAGAAAATAATACCGTATATATAGGTATATTTTATCTTACTTCCAGTAAATGCTGTTATATATTTTGTTGACCCCGCGTTGAACAACGGTATAGTCCAGCCCACTGTCAAAGTCGGTTCAAAATCCCTAGAATACCTTGTTTCGAAACCTGTCTGCTGCGTATACTTTTGGGTACTCTTTTTTACCCTATATCCCTATATACAACACTCTCTTTTTCCCTCTATATACGTACGATAAAGGAAAATTTCTACCTCTCCTACATCACTCTCCTGTTTTCTTATATACATACGATATTAAGAAAGTTTCTATTTCTCTTTTTTAGACTAGGAAAGCTTTATATACACAATTTAGGAAAGAAAATTACACCTTTTTAATAAAAATTTATTTTGTTTACGTCTTTGTACATTTATTTCTTTATGTTTTGAACCCGCTTGATAAAAATTCTGGGTCCGCCACTGTTGACGGTGTAGAGTTTTTTTTACTCCATCACACCACTTAAAAGTTAAAAGGTGTGCTTTCTGCTTTGATCATTGGAAAAGAAAAGGGATTCTTTTTTACTCAGACAAATAAGAAGGAAAAATGTACTTTTTGGTTCAGTTAGCTGCCTAAGTAATCATCTATATTTGATCTTAACTAAAAGGCAGAGAAAAGTGTCTGCCTAAGAGTAGTCTTATCATAAATTACTTTTTTTTTCCCTGTACCAGTAAACTGATAAAATTTAGAAGTTTCTTTCTCTGTTGTGTGATCCAGCATATATGCAATGGTTTTCTTGTCTGTAACTATGTTGAAAACAAATCATTCATGCACAATCAAGGATTTTAATTTGATTGGTTCACGCTTTAGGTTGTTATAACTGAATTCATTATACTCCTGAAATTATGGGTTCAGATTCTTGTATTTGTTAAGGTTCTAGTGATGTACATATATATGTTTATTCCATGTCTGAACCCAGTACTTGTGCTCTACATCCGCTATAGTTCATCCGACAAAATGGGGATTTTCAACTTGGGAGGAGGGTGTGGGACTTCTTCTTTTTTTCAGATTGAGACAGTTGGCCTCCTAATCTTAGTGAGAGTAAAATGAATATTTTGATAGACGTGGGCAGTTTTCATTGTTGGTTATTTAGATCTTAAATTCAGAAGGCTTGTTTGATTGTGCTTAGTGTTGTCGTGAATTTGGTGCTTGCAACTATGAACTTAGAAATGTTGTTGACGGATTCTTGCCCTTGCAATTGGATGGCCGATTAGCGCGTATCTATAGAGTATTTATACATAGAATTGGAATACTAGTGGTGTTATATTTAATTGTATTAGCATAGCTGTTCTATGACTGTTATATGACCAAAAATCCTAATATTCTTGCATAGGTTATTCCTTATTGGGCTGGAGAAATACGGGAAGGGTGACTGGAGAAGCATTTCAAGAAACGTAGTGGTAACAAGGACGCCAACACAAGTGGCAAGTCATGCTCAAAAATACTTCATTAGACAGCAGGCAATGAAGAAAGAACGAAAAAGGTCAAGCATCCATGATATTACAACTGCAGTGGATACCAACCCAGTACCTCCTCAAAGCAGCTTTCAAAATCAAAGAGGTAACTTTACCATGTAGAGGTAAAAAGTAGGAAACAGAACACTCACACCTGTAAATAGAAGGATCGCCAGCTACCAAAATTTCGAACTTGTAAAGTTTTATTTTCTCTAGTTGACAGTTGATTTTAGTTAGTGAATCCAGGAGCTTAAAGAATGGATTTTTTTTTTCGATGCGAGCAGAATGGGTGTACTTACAGGGAGAACAGTTAATGAAATTGTTGGCAAATGGTTGAAGAACAGAATGCTGTTCAATTTTTTTATTTTTTATTTTTGGTTGCCTTAGTTGTGATGATGAGTATATTCCATGGTTGCATGGTTCTTGCTGTCATGCGTTCACTAGTTTGTGGCCTTATGGTCGTTTTGTGTTCTATTTTTCTGCTAGTTTCTCGCCTATAGGCTACAGAGCTGGAAAATGGTTAGAGCTGAAATACGAGTATTATCAGGAATATTCAATATTCTTTCTTGTGGCCAAGATAATGTTTGAGAGTAGCTTTGTCGAAAATTTTAAATAGTCAACCTTTTGTGTCCAAGTTTACGGGATATTTTCCTCTTTCTGATTATGACAAGGAACTCTTACCTCGGAAAAACTAATAATATTACCAGCTGTTGCATAAAGCAAGTTTATCTAAAGTGAACCTAACAGTAAGATAAGCATCTAAATAAAGCAACAAAAACTATAGTAGCATCTAAATATACTAAAAACCTTCAATAAAACTGTGAGTTTTCTTAGCACAAAGCTTTTCCAACTCTTTAGCAACTTCTTCATCTCCTTTGGAACGAAGCATTTCCTTCATATCACTTGCCTTTTGTCTCACAAATTCACCTTCCTTCTTCACCACCACTTGGTTGATTATGGCTGCAACTTCCTCTCTATGAAGCTTTCCATTACTATCTCTCACAACTTCCACAGCAATACCAACCTCTTCAACAATCGAAACCCCATATTTCATGCTTTCCATTACAGAACTCCATCCACAATGACTCACAAATCCGCCAATACTTGAATGCTCCAAGATTTTTGCCTCCTTTAAAAACTTTTCCCCTATTGAAAAACCCTTAAAATTCACCTTACTATTTTCCAACCCATAAGCAATCTCCAAAAAATATTCACTTCCAAAAGATACAAAAATTGTGGATTTCTCCTCTTTTTCATTCAACCATGTTATTAACTCTGATTCTCCGTCATCAAGAGTAGGTTCTTGAACTAATGGACCAATTGGCACAACTTTTTTCCCAGTTAACTTAGTGATATAATCACTATATTTACCCTCAATCTCCTTAAAACTTTTTATCAAAACAATATCACTAGATAGGTAAAAACAATCTCTAACTCGCTTTTTATCTTCCTCAAGCTTTTCCACAGGCATAAATGATTCATCTTTCTTTATACGAGCCATCTCATAGTCACGATAATAAATAGACGAGAAGGGAAATTTTATACCTGGCTTATTGAAATCATGCAACATATAAGCAGTTAATAAATTCAACAGCAGGGATTTTTAACTCAGCAGCAGCCTTTGGAGCCCAAGGTTGGAGTAAATCATAAATCAACAAATCGGGCTTAAGGGTTTTCAAGATTAGGGTAAAATCAGGACTGGCTAAGTCAAAAGCTTCTTTGAGAGGGTTCATAAGATGAGGTGGGAGACCATTGGTGGTGTGGTGACAAGGAAGAAGATTAGGTAAAGTTTGGAGATAGAAGTTCCAAAAATTGGATTGATGATGAAAATTCCTGGCTAAGTTTTTTCTTAATAGAGCTTAGGTTTACTGGTGTAGAACACAAGTAAATAGTGTAGATATCGCATGGTTCATTTTCCTTTTACGTTGATCCACTTTCTTTGTTTTTCTTCCTCTTCCTTTTCAGTTTCTTTAACTAGCTTTCTTTTCCTTTTTTTTTTTATTTCTGGTAACTATGCTAATTAGGAACCTATGGTAGTTATTTTAGTTAGGATTAGTTGACATGTCTCTAAATTGCATCTTTATACCCTTTTTTTCTTTTAAATGTTGCCCTATATTGGTTTTTCTCACGGTAATAGCACCAGTAAGATTGTATGCTTTTTACATTATATGATCAAAAATTTTAAATACATTTTAGCAAGCCTAGACAGGTTTATGCAATACTAGCTTCTCTATTAAGAATCGAAACTTATGAATGATATGGTAACATGCACTGAATTGCAAGTTGTTTATTTCTTTCTAATGATCATTATTCTGAATTCTACTGGAAGCACCTAAATGCTGTTGGACTCGGATAATTATCACTTGATTAAGAGCAATAACCACATCATAGTTTAACTTTTCTTCTTGCATCCTATAGTTTGTCTAGTAATATACCCTTGGCCTGGACAGAACAAACAATTCAGAGGACCCAAACAGATGGACCTAGGTCCACTTGATCAATAGGAACCAGATTTTTCTGAATTTTTCTTTTTCGATTTAACCATCATTGTCCCAACTAATCCTGATTCTCCCTAGGCAGACCCAATAAGGACATCATTATGCACATGGAAATCACTATTAACAGGCTTGCTTTGGTCCACAAGCCTCGCTATCAATTCCCACGGGGTTGAGTCAATGACATGATTTCATGAGCAGCGAGTTTACACATAATTCACCATGTGTTAAAAGACTATAAAAATGCGGTGCAACAGAACCAAACTGGTCAAAATCAAGATGATATTGATTCTTGAACAATGCGTGTTTTACAGACACAGAGAAAACTTCAAGGATGAAGAGCATGGAGGATAACAACAAACTACCGAAATACTTTGTACAAACACGAGCATTATCAAGAGCAACACAGAGTCGTTATCCGTTTATTTGTCAAAGGTACTTGAAAGCAAGAGTTTGACAAGACGGTTCAGGCGAACCTAGACTTCAGCTCTTGTGACCCTCTTCTTCAGCCTTCTGCTTAAAGAAAAAGAAACAAACTAAGGGGGTTAGGAAAAGGCTCCAGTACAATCACATACACGCATAGACTAACAATTTAATAGATGACCCCATGCATATATTTGTAGCTAGACAAACCATCAATTCCGCACATGTATCTCACAAAATTCAATTATTTTTGTTTTCTCCAACTAAAAAAGAGATTGAAGAAATAAATGTGCAATCTAGGATGGCAATGTGAATGGTGAGAACAGTAAAAAATAGCTTCGTTTATGAAATGGCTTTACATATGAAACAAATGAAAAGGATTATGGAACTGAGCAGCTTTAAGCCCCCGAACACTGATAATTCCCTTCTCCCCTTCACTATATTCTTTCCCAAAATACCACAATCCCCGAGCTAATATCCAACAATTCAGTTTCATATCTTTTTGTTGTGTAGAATGGGGTAAGGATGGGGGACTTGTAAGCAATCAGATAACAGTACGTTTGAGATTTGAGGCATGCAAAATATATATTAAAAAAAATTGGATGTTAGAACTTCATTAAAGGTTCAAATCTTGTCTTGGCAAATGCTCAACCAGAAAAGACAGGCATTTGCGTACCGCACCCGTTATTTCTTTCAATATCATGTCTAAAATACATGCAATTGTGGTTTCAAGTAGAAGTGAGCAGTGTATATGACATAATATTACACAACCGATGCCCATATGTCAAACCTCAGATTTATTAATATGGTCTAGAATTTGAGAAAGTTGGCTAGAACAAGTATACGCAATTCCCATCCATATCAGACTCACCCATATCGCAATTCTCATCCATGCGCCACCTAGTCCAAAACTTTACCAGTGAGAGTTTAAGAAATATTGGTAGAGTAATGTAAAAACCTAAAATGGCTCTCTTTTTCATTGTTACTTGCAATTTGCTTCCTCAAATTGTGCAATGTTTTACTGGAAAAAAAAACTCATTTTCTAGAGGCTCTTGTTTTGAGTGAACATAAAGCTTTACTTATAATTGTATTGTAAGGTGGACTCGAGTATATGGTTGCAGAGTAGTGGTAGCTTTGATAAAAAGGGTGACATTGTTCACAAGCTGGTGGGAGGAAGTCCAATGGAGTAAAAATTGGATGGCTTACCAGAAATCAGAATAACTATTTACCCATTTAATGTATAATATTTTGATAAAGGAAAAACCTTCGATATTTAAACACAGCCAAGCACAGATACCCAAACTGATATATACCAAATGGAGCACGTAATCTTCTTTCTGCTTAGTTACAAAATGAGGTAAATGAATTTCCATTATCCTAAGGAAATTCTCAGCCTATGAGAACTAAAACATGCAGTTTTTTATTTACAATTTTTTTTTCTTTATCATTTGTGTCTAAAATCTAAGATAGTAGCAAAAATCAAGACATATAAGAAGCACCATAGTAGTGTTAGGATTTGCCCTGAATTTCTAATCTATTAGGACTCTCTTTCTTGAAGGAATGAAAAAGACTCCTAAAAAGATTAAATCTCCTTAACATGTCTTATCCTTTTCTTGGAAGACAAGTTTTGCACAACTATAAATTAAGGATCTCTGCTTCTCATAAGAACACAAAAAAAAAATCCACAATGTAGTCATTAAAGAGTTTTGTTTAGGGGGAGATCTTTCTCTCATTAGTTTTTCTTCTTTTATATTAGTTTTATCATATGTAGATCAATTGACCAAACCATTATAACCTATTATGCTTAGTTTAGTATATTTTTCTTTTGTCGTCTGATTTATCGTCCACCAAGCTTTGTATTGTTAGTTTCTGCATGCATCATGTTATTTCAATCCCAACAAGTGGTATCAGAGCCAATGGTTCAGAGTCAACAGTTGAACGAGGTTGAAGACATATTCAATGCATGTTTAGATCAACATGCTACATGTCGAGATAAATTTACAATCACAATTGTATTCAAAACGCCTGTTGCTGCATCTCTCTTTTTAACCTATATTTTGGCCACTTTTAACCAATACCAGTTTTAAGTCATGCCTACTTGCAATCTATGAGTTCCAGTGTCAGTTTTAACTCACGCTTCTTTTTAATGCATGAGCTTCTTTTACCCCATGTTTATTCTTAACACGTGGGCTTCTTTTAACCCATACTTGGGTTTCTTTTAACCAATACAAAGATTTTCAACCTATACCGATTTTTAATCATGGCAAGCAACAGTGATGAAGATTATATGAAGAAGGTGAATCAACTTTGTCAAGAAAATTCAGGCCAAGGGGAGATTGTTAGGATTTGCTCTGAATTTCTAATCTATTAGGACTCTCTTTCTTGAAGGAATGGAAAAAGACTCCTAAAAAGATTAAATCTCCTTAACATGTCTTATCCTTTTCTTGGAAGACAAGTTTTGCACATCTATAAATTAAGGATATCTGTTTCTCATAAGAACACAAAAAAAAATCCACAATGTAGTCATTAAAGAGTTTTGTTTAGGAGGAGATCTTTCTCTCGTTAGTTTTTCTTCTTTTATATTAGTTTTATCATATGTAGATCAATTGACCAAACCATTATAAACTATTATGCTTAGTTTAGTATATTTTTCTTTTGTCGTCTGATTTATCGTCCACCAAGCTTTGTATTTTTAGTTTCTGCATGCATCATATTATTTCGATCCCAACAAGTAGAACAGAATAGCAAGTATATGTATGACTATAATACAAAACAAGATAAAAGAATAAGAGAAGGATCCAAACCTTATCAGCCTTCTCTTTCTCAGCTTTCTCTCGCTCTGCCTTCTGCTTAGCCTTCTCCAGTCTCTCCCTTTCCATTTTCTATTCACACCAAAAAAAAAACATGAATAACCTAGCACGAACTTACATCATATTTCAAAAGGAGAACACATCAATCAAATTCGCTCCAACCCCAACTATTCGGAGTCAATGCCAATGTTTTAAAAGCGAAAAGCTCAAAATAACGACAACGTCCTTGGCGTTTGAAGCAAAAATCAAGAAGTGAAGCACTTGCTTCTTTGAACTAAAGCTGATAACTATAGAAAAGTAAAAATACTAAGCATGTATGAATTTAGTACTATAAGAATCAACTTACGATTAAAACAACTAATCTTAACATCCAATACAATAATGTTGATATTAATCAAATTTCTCAAAGCTGAGATTCAAAGAGCCGACTGCTTTTTCTTAGGATAATTTGCTGTCATTGTTTGAAGTACACATTTCCCAGAAGAGGATGAAGATAACCTGTTGCTTTGCATCGTTTTCATAGCTTCGGAAGCGGTGACTTTTAATAGCACAATCTATTATTTATAGTAACGAGGTATTATTTTACACACACATAATATACATATATGTATGTATGCATGTCTATAATTTTATAGTAATTGATTTACACTCTCATAATCATACACATACATATGTGCGTGCGCATATCAGGTCCGAGCTGAAAGTAGTGAATTCTGTCTATGAATGATTAGATCCGCCTATTTTCAGGTCAACTATATAAATCATCTATATCCATTTCACTCTATTTTTCGAGCACAATCCATTGAAATAGTAATTGAAAACAAAAAACACATATATTACGAAAAATGAAAAAGAAAAAAGGGAAAAGATGAGGACCTGAATGTAAATGGTCTCTTGAGCACGTTCTTCTTCGCCGAGGACACGACCTTTGCCGTCACTGAAGTAGCGAAGGCCTGAAATGGATGATCGCTGAGCTGCGCTACTGGTTTCCATTAAACGACGGAGTCCAGTGCGTGAAACGACAGATTTCATTGCCATCTTTTTTCCTCCTAGATCACTTGTAGTTTGTAGAAAAAGTCTATTGAACCAACCCTAAGGGTCACAGGCCTTTGGCACGATCTTATGGAGGACAAAGAAGTGGGTCCAGTTTTCTGACCGGGTTTTCGGGTTATGGATAAGATGGA